ACACAACTTTCAGGGTGTGGAATATGAATTTACTTGTTTCTTGGTTTGTATCCCCACTGGAACCAACTCTGGAACAATGCCTCATCGGCTTAGCGGTTGTAATGTTCAAAAACTAAAACGTTTTCAGGGTGCTTGGTTACTTTTCCTTCATCAACAACAAAAGGAGATTGAAGTATCCTCGCTGGTCTGGAAACCCTATTGATTGGCAATTCTGAGCTTGGTTCAGACACTAGGGATACCTGCATATAGTGGTAACTGTGACGTGTCACATCTTATAGGACTATTATTATATCTGTGACCTGTGTGTTGTGTGACCTAATACCAACAAATGTGTTCTGTGACTGTGACTTGCCTGTACCAAAAGAGATTTGTGTAAAATTCAAAAAATTGTAGTATACCTCTCCCTTTGTTGTTTTCGTGTCCTGAAGAACATCAGATATGATGGAGTCAACCTTCTGCTGAATGGTCTTTGATTGAGTCGGACTTTGCGTTTCAATTTGTGTGAAATCAAGACCCAAGTCGAGCGAAGGAGGTTGAAGACTGAGTTGTATATCAGGACCTTCATCCGGAACCATCTTACCCTTACCTTTAGTGTTCGAACTCGGTCCCACGTGAGATGCCTGAAGATTAAAACAAGGCATAATTTAAAATGAAATCTGGGGTAATTCAAAGACAACATGACTTTATTCTTACTTACTTCACCGGGCTTCTCAGACACTTCGGCCGCATGTCCTTCATGCACATCATTGGAACTTCCACTAAGTCTTTTCAAAATCTCTTCCATCGTACTTGAGATCAACGCAGATACAGACTTAGAATGGAATTGCATGTTGATCCTTATTTCTAACACGTCATTCCTAATCCCGGACTGCATCTGGACAATATCATCCATCCTCCGTAGTATTGTTCACCTTGTACAGTTGACAACCGTGACCTCAGATCAGCTATTTACCCCATCAGTTCATTTCTCAAATCCTCGACAGCCTGTAAAGCGTGAACGATAAAATGATTATAGAAATGTAAAAAGTGATTGTTGTTAGACTTGAATTTACTATTGTCTGTGACCTGTGCATAAGCACCCGTGACTGTCCTAAATGAAAATGACTTGTACATAAGGACCTGTGACTCAGTTATGAAAGAACCAAACTCTAACTAGTACTCTGAAGTTATTAACCTCACGAACAACTTACGTGATCTGACGGTGGGACACTTGGGTGGGGGCCTGTGCAGCGAAGTGTTCAGAAGACGGACAGGTGGTCACTGGAGACTTTGCATGTTCTGTTGTATCCTACCACCTTGGTGGAGGATCTTCAAAGTCATCATCATCAACGTCACCGTGTCCAATGCTGCTATCCATTATCCTGTGAACGGATGTAGTCATGTGTACCCCAGGAGGAGCAGCATCGCCACTTGTTCCTACACCACGATCTGAACATTCCGTCCTTCTCTTCTTTCGCATAGCATGGCGTTTAGCAGTTGGCTGATCTGGTTGACTGTACTGCAACCTACTCATATATGGCATATTCATCTCGGAATCAGAGGGGTCCAGGTCACATATTACAATCTGCAATGCCAAAAACAAAAAAAAATATTGTTAGCGACAATACACAACTTGCTACAAAATAAATTCCATACATTCGAAATTATTACATCGGGGTTGGAGAAGCATTCATCTCCTTCCACCTTAGCGGCAGACGGGGGCTCATCTGCTAACCAATTCATGATCTGAGGAAGTGTGTTAGACATCCAATTGACAATAGTTCCATCAAGACTGGGAATAGTCTCATATATCCACACTTGAAAGGATATCAATAGGCCTCTTAGCCTGTGATGTCTTGTCCTCTTGGTCAACCCTTCTTTCAAATCATTTAAAGTTGATTCAAAGAGTAGCTTCCCCCATGGAAATTTGTCCATCAATGCAAAATCTTCAACCAACACAAACAAATAGTGATCAACCACTTTTTTATAATCCATTGGGAACAGGTATGATGTAATAAAGTAAATGGCTCCTAGTTTGGCAACATCTTCATCCAACAGGACCTCAACAACATCCTGTTCTGGGAGTTGGCAAGCTGATAGGAATGTGTCCCTGACATCTTCGCGAGTCACAGAGTTCAACTGGCTGAAGAATTTTTCCTTCAGAATTGAAGGGACATCCTCAAGATTCTCTACGTTGCTGTCCCCCGTGCATCGGAGACCAGTTACTAAACATAATTCAACCATGGAGAACTTAACATATCTACCTGAAACACAAAACCACAATTCATCTTTGTTTGGCGTATGAACCTGTCTAAGCAGGAAGTCGTGGATCAACTGTGACTGTAGGGCTATGTCAGGGCAATCCAAAAAATATCAAAAGCATGTACCCCTGAGTATTCTTTGCTGGGTTTCATTTAGATGTCTCTTTATGTTGGTGAGAACACCCTTTGGCATGGACGTTGTAATCTTGCCAAAAAACCATTTTTGTTAAGGTAGCATGTATTCCCAAATCTGCAGCAAAGTAAGTTTATCAAATCACATAAGTTTATCAACTCACATAGGTCATAGATGACATCTGGGAATAAGCACAGACAAAGGTCACAGGTCATTTCCAAATTGAAATTTCACAATGGAAACCTTCAATGCTACTTTACAATCAAAAAACAGTTGCAAATGAAATAAACACGATGGGAAGAATTCAGTTCTCAGGTTGGGTACAGAACATCAATACATGTGTAGGGTCACAGTTGCATGTTAGAGAACAAAATTGATCTGCCCGCGTAAAAACCCCCAAACTTCAAAACTATTTATCCATCAACAAGATATCAGGTCACAGGAAAGTGGAAAAACATCAAAACATGATCAAGGTCACAGGTCACTTCCACGTAAAAAAAATTCCAAACTTCAGAACTAGTCCTCAATCATAGGGTATCAGTGCTCTCTATGACCACCATGAAGCAAAAATTTATGTAAAGAAAGAACTGTGACCTCTGAACATAAAGGTCACATTGAATATATAGTACGACTAGTGACCTTTGAACACATATTCTGTAACCAATAAGTGCATTGTGAATATTGTGAAAACATGACAGAAAATAGAGGGTTTAAGCATACAACACCAACACATGTGTAGGGTCACATACATACATTCACATCCACAAAAACCACTTCCACCATAAAATACCCCCCAAACTTCAATACTACTTCACAATCAAATAACATGGCAAAAAATAAAATAGACATAATGTGAAGAAATTAAGTCACAGGTAGGGTAAAAATATCAAGGGATGTGTAACGTCACAGACATTCATTCATATCCACATAATCCTCTTCCACAATAAAAAACCCCCAAACTTCAACAAACATGAAAAAATTGAAATGTTAGTTCGAAAATGGGGGGTTACCAAATTGACCCAAGCAATTACCTTCTTCCCTGAGTGAATGCCACTAGACCCATGAGATTTTTGCCTTAATGTCGCCATTTTGGTTGGGCTGTCCGTTGTCTTCCTTCTTTTCGTACGAACCATTGTCGACACCGACTTCTTGCCCTTCTTTTCATCTTTTGTTTTCGCCATTTGTATTCACAAACAATGACGAAGCACAATAGATTGGGTGAATATTTATCACAGAACTCTTCTGATCGTGGTGGAGAGTGTGCTAGTTCGTGAAGACGTGAGAAGGTGCTTGAATGAAAATAGGGCTGGATAGATATGGAAGTTGAGATATTGAGAAATTTGAAACCCACAATACACGGGATACGCGCGTAATTTAATTAAAAGATTAATTGTTTAATTAAAAAAATTAAAACCTGAATAATGAAAAAAAAACGTAAAAACTTGATTTTTTAAAACGTAAAATAAAAGGCCTGGTTCCGTGTAATTACCACTATAACATACATATATCCATGGACCATGGATTAGATTTGGGGCCTTTGGGGCCCAAAAAAATAGGTCCAAAACCTGAGTCATCTTCTTTGGCTTCCTTCTGATTTCCCGTCTTCCACACTGTAGCGATGGATCCATTTTGTAACTGGCGCACCCGACGGTTTGAAAGCTCCGACGGATCCAGCACACAGAAACCGACTACAACAAGGATGTCCATTGTTACCGTACTTGTTTTTACTATGTTCCAAGGCCTTTTAAGGATTAATCATATGAATTAAGCTAGATTTACATTAGATGACATTTTTCCCTATGTAGCATAATTTGGAAAATAATACGAAATGATATTATGTCGAGGAAATCTAAAGATATGATGGTGTCATGTGGAAAAACATCGACAAAGATGTAAATATTAATGTACATTGTACAAGTTGTGTTAATTGTATGAAAAAACTATCAAAAATTTAAACTGTCCAATAATATGTATTTGGCAAAATATAAAAAATTACGTAAAGGATGAGAAAAAAAATTACAAAAATGCTACTTGTACACACTTGGTACGCAATCTCCTACACAATCTTCTCACATGTGTGTGAGACCCACAGATTGAGGGACCCATGCACATGTGAGAGGGTAGTGTAGGACACTGTCTACTAATGTGCCCCAAAAGATTATGGGGACACATTCATCACGAGCATTGTCAGCCATCTCTTCTTTGCATGGTATTATCTGGCTTTCCATGATATTTTGTCATATTATATTGGGTCAAAAAGTCAATGAAGAGAAATCAACAGTTGCATTTAGCCCAAATGCGGATGGTGTCGGCAGGAAAGATCTTTGCTTATTTTTCATATATCCCGCATCTAACATTACAACATTCAAATGGAAGTTAGAAATATATTAGCTCGGTCTCTATTCGTACAAATTACAATGCTAATATGTGAATTTTCAAATAAAATGCAGTGAGTATGGCCCTGCCCTAATAGATGAATATATAAGCTCTATCTTATTCTATAATTGGAAAGATGCATAAAAAGAGAGAATAGAATCACATCTTCCAAGCATTTTAAGACTTCCATTTTAGTCACTGAACAGTTTTTGCTTCAAGTTCATTAATTGAGCATGACAAAGTGGCTTGGATCAAAATAAAAAGAGAGACCAATTGAATAGGCAGTATTGAACATCACAATGGAGAAATTCCGAAAGCAAGTTGTACGGATTATTGAACCCAAAAAAGGCAGTTGTATTAATCGGAGTGGAGAACTTCATTTGATAAAACCCCAGGCCGCTGGAGAAAAGAGCTGCAAAAGCATCCATTTTTGTCCTGGGCAAAGATAAACCAATCTCCAAACCTCCCTCAGAGTCCCTGGATTTGCACAGGGAAATGGAATCTTCTCCATCAATAGACACTGCCTCAAGCTTTTTTGGCCTTCCCCATCCATAATCCGCATCATATAGGTCGAACTTTGGCGATCCAGCTACTGAAAGTAATCGTTTTCCTACCAAATCTCCAAATTCTCTTAGCCAATTCTCAGCACCTTTCATCATTTCATCCTTGTTGTTCACCTTTATTCGAATCATCTCTGCAATAGACTCAGCTGCATTGAAAAAACCATCTTTTTCAATCAACTCCTGGTGCTTCTTTATAACTATTGCACCTCCTATGCAATTGCCGAAATAATTAGCAGGTACGGGCGGATTCATGCGTGCCCTGCAATCCACTGCAAAACTAAAGTACTCCGACTCATCTGGATCGACCTTCTCCCCGTTGCCATGCCCAGATTTCACCAAACAAGTCCAGACATAAGCAATTGTAACTACAAAAGATGAAGGATGAACTAAACCTGGTTTTCGGGCCAAAAGCGAATCCTTGAGTTTCTGGATATCTGTTTGGTGAAGAATATATGTGGCCCGAACTTTATTGGTGGGCAAATGCAAAGATGAAGATAGAAACTTAAAATTCTTCATTTGGTTCCAATACATGTCTGCTATTCCTCGGGGATCTTTAACGACAGATCTATCAAAACATGGCAACGATTTGGCTTCAATCAACTGTGAATCTCCAGCGAGTTTGCTGATAGAAGCCCATGCCTTTATAAAACCCACGATTGAACTTGCATCCCCTATAGCATGATGGTTGGTAAAACCAAGACACAGGCCATGGTCTGGAAATAAAGTTACCTGTAGACAGAAGGCTCGAATAATTTTAAACTGGGCTTCCTCTTTGGGTGGTGGCAATTCAGGGACAAAAGGATGAAATTGATCAGCATCTCGTGCATAATTTGCAGTAAGATTATTAAAATCCTCATTGGACTCGGCTATAATAAGAGGAACTGAGTCCTGGAACACAAAGCGCAGCACGGGCTTTTCACCGCTTAATGGACACAGTATGTTTCCTGCTAGAGGAATATAATGTTTGAGAGTGAGGGATAGTGATTCTTTGAGACTTGGAATGATGGTGTCCATGAAATAGGCCTTGGAACAAGGGAATTCGTAGAACAAAAGACGCTGAATTGGATGGAAATACAACCATGGTATGTCGAAAAATGTCAAAGGTAGTGTTAGTTCTGTTACCTTGCCATTAGGAGGCGCGATTTCACAGTGTTCAAGTTGGGTTGCCATATGTATGAAGTTACAATTGAAGGTACAGGAGATGAGTTTGCTATATAGATGATAAATCTTATATTTATCTAATTGCTTTCGGACATAAATCTTGGTTCAACAATGGAGAAGTTCCTTTAGCGTGATAAACGACACTTGGTTCACATTCACTTTCCCTCTCAGATGGGGGTGGGGCCCACATTTTTAAAAATGACGGGTCCACCCCCTATGCGAGAGGGATGTGAAAGTAAATGTGAACCAAAGTGTGTACATTTAGCATTTTTGTAAACAATATTATGTTATCTTCAATGTTCCAACTATTTGAATGATTTAGAGTTTGTTTGAACCCCATTTTTTTTTTTCAAAAAAAAAAAATGCGTTTTTTAATAGTGTTATGATAAAGAATGTGTGGTTAAAAAATAATGAAAATTTTGAATTTGTATTTAATATTATTTTATTAAAAAAATGTGATTGAAATGAGGTCAAATCGTTATTTAAGAATTTATTTTGATGGAAAAATAGGTTCAACCGTTCAAACGAGGGCTTAAAAATAGGCCGGCCGCTGGCAAAGTCATCAATTGAGAATATTATCACATTAGAAAGAAGCCAAGGATTTGCTGTAAGTTTTAGAAAAGATGGTTTCACTTTGACATCATCGGAGTCTCTGTTCAAATTTGGCTCCTGCAATTCTGACTTGTAGTGCTTGTTCTCATTTTCTGACAATTTTTGATGTATGACTGTCTTTCTTTAATGAGGGCCGCTGCTTGTACAGTCCGTCCTTAATGGATTGTACATTTTACAGCCCACACTGAGTAGTGTGGGCCCCACTTGTACAGTCCTTAGTAGACTGTACCTTTTACAGCCCACATTTTACCGTTCTTCTTTAATTTTATCAAATCTCGTAAAATGTAATTTTAGCATTCGTTTGGCAAAATTTAAAATTATTTATAAAAGATCAAATTTCATTTTCAACCAAACATTTTAATAGACCCACAATGCTATCCATTTATTTGATACTCATTTCTATCTATATATAAATTAAACATGTTATAAATTGTTGACAAAAGGGGCTTAGAAACATTATACATTTATATTGCTAATGTAAGTATAACTATACATGAAAGTTCTTGATTGTTGACGTCAAAAAATGTTTCATCAGAATCCCAACAACCTCTCCTTCATATAGGCATTACCTACACCCTGGAACACCTCGCTAGGAGGTAAAGGCTACAAGTCGAGAAAAAAATTCGACGACCATATGCACTTCGACGATCAAATCAACGGGCGAATAAGAGATAAATGAGTGCAAGAGAAGGGAGATGGGGGTTTTGACTACGGTTAGAATGCTTATCTTTTTTGAAGTGAAGTCACGTCTATATAAAAAATGATAATGAGTCAAGTGGTTAATGGATCGGGCCCAGACCTAATATGAAGTTTTTTTTATTAAATGGCCCAATCAATTGAATAGTTGATACCACCTCGACATATATAGAACCCACTCCATTATGTGCATGTCACGTAATTTATAGGTGTAACAATAGTCGCCTCAAGTCTGAATCGTATATTCATGTACGGGTCAAATTTTGAAATACAAGCTATCAAGTAGATGAGGTCTTACAAATTATCTTAGAAATATGAGTAGCTCCAAATATGCGAGGACTTACGAATTGCCTCGAGAATATAAATCCCTCCAATAAACGAGGACTTATGAATTGTCTCACAAAATATGAGTGCGGGCCTGAATAAGTGCGGATTTACGAATCGTCTCGAAAGATGTCGCATATAATTTATCAAAATTTCAGCTACATCTCCTCCATAATATGGACTAAACCAACCTATAATGTAATGTAATATATACTGCACATATACAAAGTAAATTGGGGTCCACTCACCCCTCCAAATACTAATGACGCTAGCATGAATAATATTAAATTAAACTTCTCCGATATAGAATATGTAGAGAGCCTATCATGTGTCATAGTAGATGATATGTTGTCGATAATAAAATGAAAATGTTGATAACGTGTCATATGTACTGACTGTAATGAATATAGTGTCATGACATGATAGCAATGATTTTTCATGCATATTTGTCAGCAATAATATAATGTGTGGACTTTCGGATATGGACGATGCGTTGAAGATAAGTAGTTGCAATTAAGCTAAGGCAAAGATGAGGCTCTGGATATAAGCTGTAGAGGCGATGCTTTGGACATAAGTAGCAAAGGCAATAATCTGAATGTAAGCACATGTGATAAGCTGATGCAGAGGCGATGCTCTGAAAGTAAGTAGCAGAGGTAATGCTCTGAATCTAAGCAGCATTGATAAGCTGATGCAGAGGCAATGCTATGAATGTTTAAGTAGCAAATGTGATGCTCTGAATGTATGCACTCGTGATAAGTTGAGGTAGACTCTGAACTAAATATAAACAACTATATTGATACTAATGCAAAACAGACTCTGACATAAACAGTTGTACTGATATTGATGCAAGACATACTCTGATATAACGGTGATAAGTGTATTTTCTATACTTATTCGTGCCCTTATATACTATTTTAATTTTTTTGACAAAATATGGCCTAATTTGTGTTATGCTAAGTTTAATAGGTAAAACTCATGATTTGACGAAAATTGAAGAAAACAAGCTGAAAATATAGTAGAACGGCGAAATCCAAAGTGTAGAGACTAAAGTGCAAATACTCAAAAATTATGGTGAACCTCACGATAAAGATTTGAGAGTGTTAGGTGTAAATTGAATGCAGTAAGAATTCAAAAAAGAATGAAATATAATCAAAGAATCTTTACAAATCAATTTCCAACAGTAAAAAATATATTCTAATTTTTTCAACCAGAGTTTGAGACCCATTTTGGAATAGTAAACTTTCGAATTGGAAAAATTATATTTCTAAAACAATTGTAATCATTTCAGTTAGCTCTCCAACACATTTTGAATCATCTCAATCGGATATCGGTAGAGAAAGTCATGACGAAAATACGAAAGGTTGTGCAGAGACAAAATCATGCGCGAAGACAACCTTCCTTAGTTGATTCAAACTCTTTTAGAAAGCAATCTGGACGTGAATCTTAACCTAATTTCCTCATATAGAATATAAGGGGGGCAGCCATTGGAGGAGCTCTATCTCACCTCTCAAAAATTAGATCCATATCATAAAATCATTCAAGAACGAGGCTAAGCATCAAATTCAATGCGGATTACACAAGATTGTTGAAAAATATTCATCCATTTTCAAAATTCAAATCAAGAAAGTGGATTTTTCCACTTCCTTCATTTTTTTTTTCGGGTGATGTTTTCCCAATATTTCTTGCATAATTTAATCATTAAAACGTTAAGCTAGTTTTTCTATTGTATTGGATGAATGTGAACCTTATTGTATACTTATTTTGATTTAAGATTAGTTCTTTCTTGATTTTCTTGATTGATTTTATATACTCATTGCATTATGTTATTGATTGGCCACAAATTGAATAATTAGTTGCTTGTCGTAGTATTGGGAGACTTACATTAAGTTTGGAACGAGGCAAAATTAATATATGTGATAGAATTGGGAATAATATTTATCACATATGCAGTCACATAGATAATTTACAATTTAATGCATTTGTTCATATGAATTCGGACTATAAATAGGATCGAGTTGTGATTAGAATAGACTTAATTTGTCTTGAAAAAGAGAATTAAATACACTAGCATTATCGATTGTCACGAAAGTATGAAATTGACTAGATTACAAATCAAGAATTCAAATAAATGGCAATATGGGGAATCAAAATCCAATACAATCATTCACATATTTGACAAAACATGTTTTATTGCTTTTTTTTTTTAGTTTAGAATTAGTATAAATAACAACGTAATCATCTCTTTTGTATCACGAACATCGAATTTAGTAGTAACTAGTGTACTAGAATTAAACATTATTCCTCGTGGGACAATAACTCACTTTATTATTACTTGTCAACGATCGCGTACGCTTGCGAATTTCAATGTAACAAACAGTTGTATTGATACTGATTTAGATAAAAATGTAGAGGCGAGACTCTGAATATATAAGCAGTTGTGACAAAGCTGATGCAGAGGCAGACTCTGAATATATATGTATTTGTGATAAGTTGATATTCTTACATAGAGTAACAAGTCACTTTTTAATTGTTCTAGATGTTTAATTAATCAAGTCAATTTTATCCTATGTTGAATTGCAACAATAGTAAATAACATAAGATTTGTTGACGGAGAAAATCCTTCACAGGATTAAAAACTCTGAGATCAAGCCAATGACTTTCATTATAAACAATAAGAACTTACAATAGACAACCTTATTTTAATAATGCCCATTATTAAAATAGGTTGTAGCATCCATAAAGTCCCAAATCTTTCCAAAATTTATTCAATTTCGAAGAAGTAGTTGGAGTACCTAGAATATAAACTTAAAACATCAAATTGTCGATGATTAGATGCATATATGGCGGGAAGCAATGACTTGTGGACAAACTGAAACTGGTAAATTGGTAATTGAGGGTTAACATGATGAATTTGTGATCTAGAGTCCTTCATGATTTGATGCTTGCACGATTATTCTTAATTGTTTAGTTTATTAGATAATTATATATAATTTGAAATAAAGACATAATATTTATTGCTTGTATTTTTTTTAAGTAAAACTAGTTTTAATTAAAGTAATATAGGTAGACAATCAGTCCTCGTGTTTTGAAAAAAATACTTTATTTATCACTCAATTACTGGGAGCGATCCTAACTCACGAGATAAAATTGCCAAGCTCCTTAATAGAAAATTGAGAACCAAACTGGGAAACAAAGTCATTAGTGTAGTTCGTTTTTTAACTGCGATCATACGATCATCAATATAGATAAGAATTTGTAGGGTATCTCTTTCCGGAGCTAAACTTGGTGATCATAAGATAGAAAAAGCTTCAAATTGTTCCAATCAAATACAGTTGAAGAATTTAGATATAAAAAATCATCTATATGGCCTGAGGTCAATCTTTCCTGAACCAAATTTAATATTCATTGGCAGGATGGAATCAACTGGGATTCAGAATCCCACATGAAATCAGAGATTCAAGAGTGATCTCTGTTTCCATTTTAAAAAACGTAAGATCCCTTCCATCTGCTTAATAATTGTTTTTCTTGCGCGTTTTAAAGATGTTTTATGGTGTTTATGGATTCTTTTAGGTACTCGAAGAGAATTCTTTCTGATTATACCATAATTGCATTCACCTGTTTGTAAAAGTTATGAGTTTGAGGAGTACTAACGCTAACAAAGAATATATCTTCAAATAACAGGGAACATGATACATTATACTTGAGTTTTATTATTTTTATTTCGAGCTATGATGTTCATATTTTTCAAATATTTGGCTGTTATGCAGTGATCATTATACGATCTGATACAGAATATTAGCTGTTTTTCTCCACTAAGATGGTTTTTGACGTTGAAATTGTGAATTATCTGCAGGAATAGATTTGAAAAGCAAACGCATGCCAAACCAAGAAGATTCTAGTGCTCCAACTAGGCTTCAGGTTTCTTATACTACGGACTAGTTTAATCCTGATATTTTATATTTCTTAATTATGAAATCTCAATTTGTTATCTGCCTCTTTCAGGGAAGTACGCTGCTATTGTGGTGTGTTGTCTTTTGGGAAATGGGTGCCTCTTTTCTTGGAACAGCACGTTGACAATAGAGGACTATTATGCATCCTTGTTTCTGGTGACTGTCTTCTCGTATGCAAGAAGTCGGATTTTGATTTTAACGGCATAATAAGAACTGAAGATTTCGCCTCTAATTTAATTTTTGCCGCGTGACAATGCACATCACATATTCTAGTATATACTACTTTATCTGTATTCTCTTCTTGAAAGCACAATTTATGCGGTGATATGAAGTACTTGATAAAGCTAAGTGAGAGAACAACACAAAGGTCTGGCTATTTATTTATGAATTTCCAAAAATGATTTTCATTTCTGTGCAGAAGTACCATCGTTCAAGGGTCCTTACTCTTGTATATCAACCCTTTGCACTTGGAACGCTTGCTATCCTGGCATATAATGAGGCAAGAATCAATACTAGATGGCGGAATCTTTTCAGATACACTCTTTTTCTTCATAAGCACACTTTTGGTTCTTGTTGCAAGTATTTTTTAAGTTACAACTTCCAACGCATATATATCATCGATCCATCTGACATTTCTTGTACTGTTTCACTCGATATTTTACGGATGGATTTAGCAACATTTGGAAGAGGATGAATTGGCACATACATTGGTATATGTGCCATTAGTGCTGCTTTTGGAGTTTCAGATGCTCATGTTCAGGGTGGAATGGTTGGAGACCTCTCTTTTATGCTGCCTGAGTTGATTTCTCTGTTGGCTTTTTGCATACTGCAATATTTGAGGTTGATTACAAAAGCAGCATTTCAGAATTCTAAGGATGCTCTTCAGAAGGAGCCAGTATGTAAAAAATCCTAAATATACTGTATTTATTTCAAATTCTTTTGTACAGACATTTTAAATGACTTGATTAAATATACAGATTATTGATGCCTTCCCCTTTCTATTACCCTGTGGAAGCAGTAGAGTGAGCTCCATGTTAATTTTGCCAAACATCAAATTTATAATCAACGAGGGAGAAGTTTTATAAAGGTTTTCTATGTTATAATTTTTTATTGTGATATATCATATCCATTATACAGCATAGATTCTCCTTCAAGAATGCCCTACAAAATTTTTCATTAAAAATTGTGATTTTGTTAATATAGCTTATTTCTTTTTAGGCAGTCCCATCTTATCACGCGTATCCTTCTTGGTCCTGTACTAGCGACTAGTGCATCGTGGCCCGAGTGTACTAAAAGTGATAAAACTAGGGTGTAGCCCATATGGACTTTGCAGTTACATACATTGACACGTTGTAGACGTAAAAGAGTTAGTGAAAGATAATAAAACTAGGATAAGAACACTTGCATGAAAATATAAGTAGTAGTTGATGTGATAAGCGGAGGAAATCAGCATAGCTTTCAATAGGGAAAAGGACAGAGCAGAGAAGGTAGTAATAATCAATGAATCTAGTTTAGAAGATGAGGTCATAGAATCACAACTAGTTGAGGATAGGATTATATTACTTAAATGGTTTTTAAAGGACATGGATGGGTTGATTCAGGAGATCCTTAGTCAAAATAAGATGTTTGTTGTCGATCTTTGATGGAAAATGTAATTCAAGATATTGAAGTGTACACAGAAAGTTTGGCTTCGGGGTTTGACCAACTATATTCTATTGTGCTGTTGTTTTGGGTTGTTAAGGATAAAATTTCTATAAAAGATGAATGTAACTAACTAGCTAATATAAGGGTGTTAGATGGATGTGTGGCTATACAAGAACAATAAAATGAGAAATGAAAATAAACGTCAAAAGGAAGAGGTCACACCAACGGAAGTTGCGACTTAAGTAGTTGGAGCAGGCCTTGGGTACATTTAAGGAAGCTCTCAATCACAACAATAATGTGATCCTAGAGGAATATGTTAGAATGGAAAGAGCTATGTGAAAATTAACATGTCAAAAGATTTGAAGACTAAGACCCCAGTTCAGTTTAGTTAAAAATCAAATTTATAGTAGATTTTGATAAAAGTTGATGAAAAGTTTGATTGAAAAGTTAATAAAAGTTGTAGGTCCCATGAAATTTGTGATTAAGAGTGTGTTTAGGATATATTTTTTTGAAAGAATGTATTATTGAATAGTAGATTGATGGAGAATGTGTGATTAAAATGAAGGAAAAGTTATTGATGTGATGGAAANGTAGGAAAAGTTATTGAGGTGATGAAAAATATTATTTTATTGAAGAATGTGTGGTTGAAAATGAGTAGAAGAATGAGAATGAAAAAAATAATGTGTACCAAACATGGCTTAAAAATGAGTTCAAGGAAAAACAAGTTCTAAAAAATGGGGGCCAAACAGGGGCTAAAGTTTAGCTTGTTGATCTTGTATTTTCAGGAGACAAAGAAACACATACTGTATTGCTAGTATTTGGTTTTTGGCCTTTTAGGGATATAACAATTTTGTAAACAACTTGTGCCTTTCCTAACACTTGAAATTTATTTATCATTAACTGAAGCTTCTTTAAACTTTTGCGAAGCAGGGGCTTAGATAATGTCTTGATATTTTAAAAACTAGTCGTTTGATTAAACTTAGATTAGCAGCGAAAAATTGGCATAAATTGCTTGAAGTTTGCAAGGTGATCATGTAAATATGGTCAGTGGGCATTCGTTTTGCTCATTGTGTAGATGGATGGTAAACTATAATGTTAATGTCATTCTAGGTAATGTTAAACTACATTGTTATTGTTGGCTGTAGTTTTTTTTTGCTCTCTCTTCCCTTTTTGAGCTGGCCTGCTTACTGGTCTATGCATATGTCTATCCAAAGCTTCCAATTGTGAAATATTACCGCTCAAAAGCTGCTTCAGAGGGATCAAAGACTGTGTCAGCGGACCTTGCTGCTGGGGGAATCGATACACAACCAGGAGAAGTACAAATCTTCTACCTTGTATAATCAATATAAATCAATTTATTTATAATATGAACTTTGTCTTGTATTGATTCTGTTTTAGACTAATCAATATCCAAATGATCTGGAGTGAATGAGCAACAAAGAATTGCTATTCCAGAACATACATTATGCGTTGGACATGTTTCTGATATACGCTCTTACACTATCAGTCTTCCCTGGATTCGTATCTGAGGATACTGGATTGCACAGCTTGGGAGGATGATAAGATTTTTTTAAACCTATGAATCCGTAAAAATGGAAATTCAAATCATAATGTATCTCAGGAAGGTGGTGAAATTTGAAAAAATATCTTTCACTATGCCTTATATGGTCGTTATTTCAGGTATTCACTTGTCCTAATTGCAATGTATATTGCGTGGGATCTCATAGGACGATACGTGCCACTCATAAAATGCATTAAGCTAGAATCTAGAAGGGGACTTATGATAGCAATTCTCTCACGCTCTCTATTTATCCCGGCCTTCTATTTTACAGCCAAATACAATGAGCATAGCTGGAGCCTGGTTGATAATATTCACGTCTTTCTTGGGTTTAAGTCATGGTTATCTTACAGTCTGTGTCCTTACATCTGCTCCAGAAGGTTACAAGGTCAGATATACAATGCTTTTTAACTCTTTTCGAATTTGACAACTTCTAACTAAAATTTATGGAATTCTGGTTTCGTAGGGACCAGAACAGAATGCCTTGGGGAACATACTGGTACTGTTTCTTGTAGGAGGCATATTCGCAGGGGTAACACTCGATTGGTTATGGCTCATAGGCAATGGTTGGTGAGAAACTCCTCTAATTGCAAATCCCAAGACCCTTTTTTTTCTCCCTCTACATCTTCTGTTCTAGACACGTGATTATTTAAAGTGGAATTGTAAGATTTGACATTGAAATTGCATTAATATTGTGTTCTTTGAAAACTTTGATATAGTTGCCTAATATTACTTGTAGTAAATTCTGCATGAAAGCAAATTCTAAATCTCGATGTAAATCTTTGTCGTCGAGGAATATTTTTTCAAAACGTCTTTAGAGTTGGTGTTGCTGAGTGCGATGCGCTTTCCACCCTCCAAAGTCTACATATGATTCTTTGTTAGCCCCAAATGCTTTTTTTTTATTAAGGATGCAAGAGATGAAGTTGCCATTTGGACACTGGTCTGTTTGAACCCTATTTTTTTTTTTTTTTTGTAGAATACATATTGAAATAGTAGATTGAACTAACGTTGTTTTCCCTTAGATTTTCACTCTTAATTACGAGCATATCTAGAAACCTCTCTCCAAAAACAAAAAAAAAACCCGAACCCGCCTTTTTTCTTCTCGTCGCCGTCCGCTACTCTCGAGCCGCCATGGTGGCAACTACCCAGTTAGGGTCGACGCCGCCCTTGGATCCAGGCCATACGTCTGTACAACAGGGGGGATCATTCTTAGATGTGGCAAGATTGAGCAATGGAATCTCGACGAAATTGGTCCCTATTCCTATGAAAAATCCAACACTGATTAATGGGCAGATGGGCTTTGTATTTATAGATCAAGAGACGAAGAAGCTGGCGGATGATCTCAGATTTACCCTGGTGATTAAGTTCTTGACTACACGGCCAAATATTGATGAATTGAGAAGGGAGGTGGTAAAAACATGGGGGCTGAAGGAGGTTCCAACAATCAGTTTTATGGACGAGTTTCACGTGCTTATTCAATTGAATAATGAAACTGACTTCCTTCATGTTTGGGCTCGAGAGGGAAGATCCTTGATGGGAGCTAAGTTCAGCATATTCAAATGGACGCCGGATTTTGATATGAAAAGCGAGCCTTCTATTGCAACACAATAGATTTTCCTCCTTGGACTATCAATGCATTTATATAGGCCGGATTGTCTTCGGATGTTTGCAACTCTGTTTGGAAGATATATGGGTACAGACCATGCCACTCTAGACCGAACAAGGGCAACAGGGGCTAGAATGTGTGTGGAGTTGGATTTGCTGGATAAGGTTATTCAAGGATTCCCAATATCGGTATCATCCACGAAGACCATATGGCAGGAGGTTAGATACGAGTAAATGGGTTATTATTGCAAGAAGTGTGGAAGACAGGGGCACCCCGAAGTAGTTTGCAAAGCTGGGCAAAATACGCTGACAATTACTTGAAAATATAAGAAAGTTGAGCCGGCTGTGAAGGAGAGACTGGGAAGGCGAAAAATACAGAAGGGGGATAGGTTGGAGACAGAATAGATTGATGATGGAGAGCCGAGTGGTACTAAGCAGATACATGGTGCAGAACCGAGTGGTAATGAACAAACTGATGATGCAGCACTGAATGAAATTAAGAAGGCTAATGCAGGCGAAGAGCAGTTAAACTTTGTTAATTCGAAGGAAAATCAGGATTGTCATCATGCTATTGGTCAGAATCAGAAACAAATTGAAAATGGCTGTGTGATAAAGGATTCAACTGGTGGTAATGACGAAGTGGTTTATCAACAATCACACAATGTAGCTCAAAGTCAAGATAATTCTGTGTTTAAGTTTTGGAATGGAGCTGGTTTGGTTGGTCATCAGACAATCATGTTGAGATGTTAGAGGAAGGTGAAGTGGAACCTGTGAGTGATGGAATGAGAGAACAACTCAATTCACACCAGGAAGTGAGTATTGAGGATATAAATACAATCGCAAGTGACCCTATTTTGGGTACAGTGGAAATGGAAGGTGGTTCAACAATGGTGGATGTGAACAATCCTGTAGTACATGAAAATATGGCTGGAAATGTAACAGATGGTGGGCTGGTGGAAAGATGAATGAGGATGGATATGCTAATTGTAATTCTGATTCAGGGCTGGAAAGAATTTTCAAAAGGAAAAATAAGGGTCTTTCGGTAAGGTTATCGCATAGGGTGCGAGCACGCCCTTCAAGGCTAAACTTATGATGTATGAAGTTCTGATCTGGAATGTACGAGGGGTGGGCATATCAAGGCAAAGGATCTGTAGTTTGGTGCGAAAACATAATGTGGCTATTTTGGCAGTGTTAGAGCCTTTTCAAAGTGAGAGTAAGATGAGGTTGTTGGCCAGTAAATTAAAGTTTGCAAACTGTATGTCCAATGAGCAAGATGAGGGTAAGATTTGGGTTTTTTGGAGGGAAGAGTTCACAGTAGATTGGGTAGGAGCATCGAATCAGGCTATGCATGGCATTTTCACAAAGGGATCTAGTATAGTGATGATTTCTTTCATTTATGCTAAATGTAATGCTTTAGAAAGGAGGTCGCTATGGCTGGAGTTGGAGAATATTACGGTTAGTGGTTTACCTTGGATTGTCACTGGGGATTTTAATATCATTAGGAATGATTTGGAGCGTGGGGGTGGGCAACCACGTCCTATGATTGCGATGGAGGATTTTAATAATTGTATTGATAAATGTGGGCTGATGGAATTACATTCGGAGGGAAGGAAGTTTTCTTGGTGTAATGGACAAAATGGAATAGCAAGAAGCTGGGCTCGACTGGATCGGACTCTAACCAATTCCATGGCAGCCAGTTTATATCCGAATATGGGACAGAAAATACTGGCTAAGGAAACATCTGATCACTGTCCATTGATTATACATCTTAAGCAGCCCGGTGTCTCATATGGACCCCCACATTTTCATTTCCAACATATGTGGTGTGAACGTGAGTCATTTATGTGGTGTGTTAAGGAAGCTTGGGTAGATTGTAGCCAGGATGTGGAGTTGGGATGCCTACAGAGGTTAGCTGCAAAGTTGAAAAGGACTAAAATGGCTCAAAGTATAGAACAAACAAGTTTTTGGCAGGGTGGATCACATTATATCAGAGCTTCAGGAGAGAGTTGAGATACTAGAAGAGTCATTACAAGAGGGATTCTCGGATGAGATGGAACAAGATTTTTTAGAGTCCAACATTGAGCTAGCGAAATGGCAGAAACAAGAAGAAATTAGGCTCGCTCAAGCTGCTAAGAAGCGATGGCTGAGGGAGGAGGATAATAACACAAAATTTTTTCATGCAGTAATTGCTCAATATCGTAGAAATAGGGGGTTGGATCAAATGATACTAGAGAATGGGACTTGATTATCCTCTCTCCAACAAATACATATGGAGGCAGTAAGGTATTTTGAGAATTTTCTTACTGAAGAATACGTGCGGGAAGTACCAAATTTATCTAGTTTGATTGATAATACCATGACTGAGGTGGAGGGTCAGTACCTTTGTGCTATGTCGTCTGAGGTGGAAGTTAAAGAAGCCACCTTTGCGATTCCCATGGATAGTTCCCCTGGTCCGGATGGGCTTGGGGCAAGCTTTTTTATAATGTGTTGGGATAGATATTGTTAAAAAGGAAGTGATTGAAGCTGCTCAAGATTTTTTTGGAGGTGGAGAGCTTACTCGATTTTACACAGCTTCTTATATTGTCCTCATCCCGAAGGTGGAGAAACCTACTGGTTTTGATAAATTCAGACCTATAAGTTGTGCTTTGTAGTATATAAGATTTTTTCTGAAATCTTGGTGTCGCGAATGGCTGCTTTACTTCCAAGAATAATTTCAGCTGAGCAAGGGGCTTTCATTGCTGGGAGAAGCATTTTTGAAAATATCGCTCTTACACAAGAGTTAGCACAGTCTATGAATAAAAAGGTGCGAGGGGCAAATGTGATGCTTAAGGTGGATATGGCAAAGGCCTACGATAGGGTGGATTGGCAATTTTTGAGGCATGTGCTACAAACCTTTGGCTTTTTGGAAAATTTTTGTCAGTTGATTGATCAGTGTATAACGAAGCCGTGGTTTTCAATTATGATGAATGGCACCACTCAAGGTTTGTTCAAGTCTACACGTGGTCTAAGGCAGGGTGCTCCGTTGGTCTCTCATCCCCGGGGTGCTCCGTTGGTCTCTCACCTTATGTATGCAGACGATCTTGTGATATTCGCTAATGGTAGTAAAAAGTCGACAAAAGGTTTAATGGGGGTGCTGAATATGTATGAAGATTAGTCTGGGCAGCTTATCAACAAAGAAAAGTCGGCCATTTTCTTCTCTAAAACCACATCTTTGGAACAAAAAGGCAATATCATATAGGAGATGGGCTTCAAAGAGGGCCAATTTCCTATGTTGTACTTGGGGGTGCCGATTGTTCAAGGAAGGCTAAGTGCTTGACATTTAAAGTTTCTGATTGGTAAAATTCAGAAAAAAATTGCTGGATGGAAGATTTTTTTACTATCACAAGGGGGTAGGTTAGTGCTTCTTCGCCACGTCCTTTCTAGTATGGCCATACACTTATTATCCGTGTTGAGCATTCCTAAATCTGTGCATGGGAAGTTAAACTCCATTCTTTCATCCTTTTTTTGGGCTGAAATTAATGGTAGGATTAGGAAAAAATGGTGTTCGTGGGACAAATTGTGTCAACCTGTGCTGGAGGAGCGGATTGGGGTACGTAAACTTAAAGAGGTGCAACAGGCTTTACACATGAAGTTTGCTTGGCGATTTTTATCTTCAGATTCTCTATGGGCAAGGTTTTTTAGAGCAAAATATTCTAAACAGGGGATTCTGGATATAGCTAATTTAAGCTACACTGGAGTTATTGGACACAGTCAATGGAAGATAAGGGATGGTACTTGCTCTTTTTGGTTTGATAAATGGTTAGAGGAGGGCCCTCTATGTGCACAAGTAACGCAGATTGTAGAACCAAGGTGAAGATCAATGAAATTTGTCTAGAAAATGGATGGGACATGGTTCGCTTGAGAGACCTTGTTGGTAACAATCTAGCCAATGAAGTTGTATCTCAGGTTGGAGCTCGAAGAAGGGGAACAGATTTGCTGATTTGGAAACCACATAAATCTAGCTTATTTACTGCTAAATCTGCTTGGGAGGTGGTGAGGGTGCGGGCTGATCAAGTTGAATGGGCGACCTAGATATGGAACAACGCCCTGCCTAAACGAGTTTTTGTGCTCATGTGGAAAGCCCTTAGTGGGAGTTTAAGTGTTGATCAACGCATTAAATCAGTAGGCATTAGTCTTGCATCAAAATGTGATTGTTGCTCTACAGGTCACGAGGAAAATGCATCTCATGTTCTAAGCTCTGGAGACTTTGCAGACAAGGTATGGAGGAAAGTTGGATGGAAAGAATAAACTTATGGTGGTCAAGAGCAGAAAGATCATCAAAGGTGGGATGTTTGATTGGATTGCTCCCAAGTTTAATTACTCGGAGACTATGGACAAGAAGATGTAAAGCAAGGATGGAGGGTAAGACTGAATCTGTTCTAAGCTCTGGAGACTTTGCAGAAAAGGTATGGAGGAAAGTTGGAGCTTTGGTGGGTGTGTGTTGGAGGTAGGAGTGGGCGCGAGTTGGTTCGGTTCGATTCGATTTTATTCGGTTCCAGAAATTTTCGGATATTTAGTAAATGGAACTGTCGGTTTCAAATATAATTTTTGAACCGTTCCGGTTCGGTTCTGTTCGGTTCCGTACTATAATTAAATTTTTTAACATTTAGAATAATAATACATAAATACACCTGAAAGTAAATACTAATATNTTTAACATTTAAAATAATACTACATAAATATACCTTAAAGTGGATACCAATATTAATAACAAAAAGTAGATACAAATACCAAGTTCAATCTTAACTTTTACAAATTAACGTAATCTAATTTAATAACATATAAATAATAAGTTGTCAAATACAAATACCAAAAAGTAAATATTACCAGTAAAATTTCGATGATTCATATCAATAATTCATTTGTTTCAAACCTTCAAGTCTACATAAAAATGAAATATAAATTAGAAGTTATAAAGATAAAATATTTTAAAGTATTGATAATACTTACCAACTATTTAATGCAATCATCAGTTGCTTGACTTTCCATACTAACTAATAAGAAACTATACAAGAAAAAAATTGAAAAAAACACAATTAAAAAACATAAATAAATTCTAAATTGTTCAACTAATAAAATTTAATAAGAAAAAAATTGTTAATTTGTTTAGAAAAAATAAAAGAAATTGATTTATCCAATATAAAAAAAAAAATTCGGTTATTTGGTTCTTGGTCTAGAATCGAGAACCGAACCAAACCGTTCGGTTTTCGATTCGGATACCCGTTCGGGTATTTCATTTAAGAAAAATCGCTCGATTTGGTTCGATTCGGTTCCGATTCCGGTTCGGTTCGGACATTTTGCCCAATCCTAGTTGGAGGGCAGGACAAAATTGGATGGAAAGAATAAACTTATGGTGGTCACGAGCAAAAAGATCATCAAAGGTGGGATGTTTGAGTGGATTGCTCAAAAGTTTAATTACTTGGAGACTATGGACAAGCGCTAGTCAGAACAAAGCAAATTCGGGTGGTTTCATGGAAAAAACCACATCACAATCGAGTGAAACTCAATGTGGATGGAAGTAGTCTTGGGAATCCTGGACAGATCGGTGGGGGAAGATTGATTAAGAATGAAAGAAGTGAATTGGTTTCAGCCTTTAGTAGTTATTTTGGTGAAGGGACCAACAATGGAGCTGAACTGAGAGCACTCATTGAAAGTTTAAAACTACGTAGTGAGTTGGGTGTTAATCATATTGACATCGAGTGCCACTCATCGTTGGTGGTTTCATGGGTTTCATCTCTGAAGTGCTCTTTGTGGTATCTATGGGACTTCTGGGATAATCTTTTGAATTTATTATAACAATTTGATTATCAGGTGGCACATCAATGGAGAGAGGGAAACCAAGTTGCAGACTGTTTAGCTGGATTGGGAGCTAAAGGCATGTCGAAACTTTTTAACTTACGGTCATAATTTGAATTCTTAGATCTAGTGTTTCATTTAACTAAAATTAATTCACATAGAAATATGAAATTGAATTAGTTAAATAGACTCAATGAGAACTTGAGAGGGATAAATTGAATACAATAGGAGAATTCGATCGAACACTACATTAGGTTGTGAATCTTGAATTAAGAATAAATGTGATCAATAGATGAAATTGTTATGCCCTAATATTTATCGCATTTTTGAATTTTCAATTATCCATTGTTTACAACATTTTTATACTTTCAATTTGTTATAAGTGGTTAGTCAAAATCATCATAATTATTTACTTGTTACGATATCGTACACTTGCAATATAAAAAATGCAACAGTTTATTACCGCTATTTGTCCACAAAAACACAATTCCAATCAATATCCAAGTATTGTAATTTGTCTTTGGTGAGAAGTTTGGATTGAGCACTTAACCAAAGCAAGAATGAGTGTTTCAATGTAATAAACGGTTTCCAAACGTCAGCTGCCCATAAACAAAACCAAAGAAACAACTTGGAGAAAAGCCACTTTTCGTAGCCGCACATTTTTCTTTAGCAATTTCTGTCAACTTCTGAATATCGCTTTCCACAAATTAGGTACTGAATTTTCAAATAAAAAATTGAGTCTCTTGTGAAACTCCACCACTAGGGCCGTACCTGAGGGGAGGCCCAAGAGGCCACCGCCTCAGACCCAAAATTTTTGAGGGCCCATTTTTTGGTTTTTTTTTTAAATTAAATTAACCTAAAACGGTAAAAAAAGGTAAAACAACAGTTCATCCCAAGTCACTGCTCCGTTTCGTCCATTGCTCCGCCTCTACTGCTGCTTCGCCTGAGTTTCCTCCGTTCGGCCGTGGGTAAAAAAGAATTTTTGCAAGGCAGAGAAGCCTTAGGCTCTTCTATACAGTTTCCACCTGAAAGAGTAAAAAAGAATTTTTTTTCCTCTTATCCCGCTCCCGCCTCCCGGTGATATGAAATTGAATCAATTGATTAATTTGAGGCGTTATTTGCAGGGCAAAACAAGCTGGGAAGAGGGCAGCAGACAAAGTGCAGCAATTCCTTTCAATTACGGGTATGTTTCTTCATAACAAGCTGATTTCTTGATTCCACGATGAGGGATTCTTTTTTTCAGCTTCAGTTAAAGAACTTGTTTACTGTATTTTGTTTTGTGATTGAGAATTGGAGTATGGATATTGGATAATGGATGTGTGATACTGTGATTGCCTCATGCCCTGTTAGGGATTTTTTGAGTAATTTGTTGTGATTTTTGTAGTATTTTCTGTCAAATTTTTGTCAATGAATGTTGAGGGCTGCATGCTTGCATCTAGCTTACAGAAATAGAACGAGAATTTCATTTGAACTGCAGTTGAGGTTTAAACAAAATCTGCTAAAATGCTGAATCACCTGTCTGTTTAATTGTTTATCCTGCAAATTAACTTCCCTTGCAATGCCAATTCAAGATTCCCACAAGCTGAAACAACTCTGTGATAGTGTGATTGAATATGTATTATTACTTATTTGGATTTGACGTAATGAATTTGAACTGTGGTTTTGTAAATTTACATCCGCTCATGTTAATTGTTATGTTCAATTTCAGTAACGGTTTGTTGTTGAGTGATTTGAGTCAAATACCATGGCTCCTAAATATGCATCTGGGGCTCAAAAAAAGAAGAAGAGAGAAAGCGAAGAGGCAATAATTCGAAGTCAGACTGGAGATATGGATAAATAATTTAATAACAAGAAAAGAAAAGAGAATGAAGGATTTGAGGA